CCAGTCTTGTCAATATAGTGAGACCTCACTTCTCCAAAATACAAATAAAAATGAGCCGGGCATGGTGGCACATGCTTGTAGATGCAGCCACTGGGGAGGCTGAGGCAGGAGTATTGCTTGAGTTCAGGAGGTCAAGGCTACAGTGAACCAAGATTGTGCCATTGCACTCCACCTGGGGCAACAGAGAGACCCTGTCTCAAGAGAAAAATAACAGCATAACACAACACAGTGTCCTGGCTCTGATTCTATACCTCTTCCCACTATGTATTTAATGACTGGGCCCATTTTCCTGGGGGGCACATCCAGATTGCAGCAGATATTCTCCAGGCTGCCCCCAGGGCCCTCAGCACACATGTCCTCCACACACACAGCTGTGTATGTTTTGAATGTGGAAAACTGAGTGCATAAATACCGGCGAGCTTAGATAAGGTGACACGGAGTACCTATTAAAAGGTCTTCTAGTGTTTAGTTAACTGTGAGCTCAGCGTGCAGCAGCCAAGGACTCTTTATGCATCCACTCAGCAGGTCTTTCTGGAGACTCCTGTGTGGCAGCCCCCATGCCGGCTGTACCATGACTTGTTGGAGGTGGACGGAGAGAGAAGGCAGTGTTCCTTACCCAGGCTGGTTGAGCAGATGCATGGAATGATAAGTGCTGTGGGTGCCAGTTGGTGGTTTGCATAAGTGCTGTAGTCACAGTCGGGCAAGTGCCCCCTCTGCCCGCAGAAGCTGGAGACTCCTGGTGGAAGGTGGTGTTTGAACTGAGTCATAAGGGAGGAGGACAGTGGGCTGGCTCAGGCCGCCAGTGCCGGTTCCATCAGGAGACTCCAGGATGAGTGATAACGTGTGGCAGGGCCATGGGGTTCTCAAAGCTTGGAGGTGAGGGGAGCTGAGAAAGGAGGGATTGGGGAAGGTGCACAGCTGCTGGGCTGATGGTTTGGTTTCTTCACAGAGGCCAGTAACAGGAGCAGGTGAAGTCTAGTTAGTTAGAGGTATGGGAGTGGGGCGGTCTGCTCCACGAAGTCACCCAGGGACCCAGCTTCCTTCTCCCTTGTTGCTCCAAGGTTTTCTCTTCCTGCATAGACAGCACACCTACTTTGTAGCCTGTGGCAAGGGGGAACGGAACACAAGGAAGTGCAAGGCAATGTCCTTTTGAGGATGTGACTCAGAAGCTGCAGATCTTGCTTCCAGTCCCACCCTCTTGGGCAGAACTTGGTGCTGAGGCTGCACGTATCTGCATGGGAGGCATGGCGTGCAGATTGCGAGGTGGCTCTGTGCTTGCTCCAACTTGGGGGTTCTGTTCCTGAAAGGAAGAAAGGGATACTGGGCTTTTGGGATCAAATGGTCTCTGCTGCAAGGACAAATCTGGAAGCTATTGTATGCTCCCTTTCGGGGGGTTTTGACTTTATCCACATAGTGACAGGGCGCCACCAAGTGCTCTGCTGGGGAGATGCGTTGTCACTGTGAGTGTTTTAGGAAGTGCGTCTGGCTGTGCCGGGAGAGTGCATGAAGCAGATGTGGTCAGGCTCCAGGAGGTGGGACTCGTGGATGGAGGCACTGGATCTTTTCAACAGGGCAACCAGAAAAACAGCCAGACAGAAGGACCTGGGTTGTCAGCACTCACACAGTCACATGTTCCAGTTTGGAAAAATGTTGCATAGTCTATTCAAGCAGCCCAGTGTATGTTTTATTCATTCTTTCAAAGAACTCTGTGTACCTGTTGAATGCCAGGGAGCATTCCTCATGCTAGGGGTACAGCGGGGAAGCAGAAAGAGCTCTGCTCTCAGGAGCTGCCTGGGAGAGACAGTCAACAACAAAACAGACAGGAAGGACGGTTTCAGATGGGATACGATAAGTTGTACAAGAACCAGAAAACAGGAAGTCCCTGGGGCAGAAACAGATTTGGTTAGGATCAGTGATAAAACCCCAGAGCGAAGCCGGAGAGCAACTTGGGGCTGACCTGTTGGAAGTGAGCTGTGAAGAGTTGGCCCTGGGATTTGGAATTTGGAGTTTTCCAAGGGCCCTGGGGCTTGGGATTTGTTCTGTGAGCAGCAGGAAGCCATTGGATCATTTTCTGCAGTAGTAAAGTGATCTGATGTGATTGGGGTCTGAAGATTCCCCGTCCAGCTGCTGCATGGAGGCTGCAAGGGTGGACGATTGGAATGCTATCCACACTTGGAGGTAGCTTCGCGGCCGTTCCCCCTGTGGGGATGCCACAAGCATGAAGTAAAGCGGCTGTCTCCTCAGCTGGTGGTCCTGGGTGGAGTTCCCGGACTCACTGGGGGTGCTGGTTCAAAACGTGGAGCCCCTCACCCCACCTGCCCACCCCCGCCTGCTGAGATGGAACGTCTTGGTCTCCTAGTGGCCCTCTTCACGTGGGGGTTTGAGAACCTGCTCTAGCCCTATGTTACTCAAGTGAGTAACATGCATCGGGATCACCCTAGAGCTTACCAGAAAGGCAGCTTTCGGACCCCAGTCAGACCTGTGCAGCCACAGTCTGCCCTTCCATGAGATCCCAGAGGCTCTGCTGCCATATCCTCTCTGGGGCTGTGTCCCCTGGTTGGGGTGTCTTTCTCACCCTGCCTCTATGCACACGCTCCCCACAACCCCACGCCACACCAATACACACACCCAGAAATCCATACACACCCAGAGATATACAGAGTCACACACACCCTCTACACTGATACACACACATACAGAGATAGACATAGAGGCACACATACCCTGCATCCTCTCATACCGCAGCAACACACACACACACACCCCCTCAGAGATACACACAGAGACACACAGATACACACACACACACACACACACACACACACACACACAGACATAAAGACACACTGCATCCCTTCACACCACAGCAACACACACATACACAGAAATCCATACGCACCCAAAGAGACACACATAGACACACCACACCCTGCATCTTCCCACACCACACTGACACCTCACACACAAAGAGATAGACATAGTGTGATGTGAACCTTTTCACACCACAGTAACATACACACACTGAGATACACACAGAGACACACATACCCTGACTCCCCCACACCACATGAACACACACTCATAGATACACAACAGAGACACACACATGCCCGGAATCACTGTGGCTACACATGAGATAAGCTTTGTGCCAAAGGCCTGTCTGGCCAGCTCAGAGTTGAGGGTTCTGGAGCATAGGCAGGTGCCACGGGAGCCACAAGTGAGGAGTGTGAGTCACAAACAAGGCCTGTGGAGCTTGATTTGTTGAGAGAGTGCTGTGTGCAAATTGGTGATTTAATAAAATTGACCTGGCGGCAATGAGCAGGAACTGGCAAACCCTGGCCAGAGGCAGAGCCTGGGTGGTGGGAGCTGGGGGCTGTTGTAAGAATATGAAGTCCTGGAGTTATGGCTACCCGGAGGACGTGGCTGTGTGGTCGCTGTATGCCTGTTTTTGGTATGACCTATCACACTCTGAATTTTCTATTATATGTATCTGTTATTTTTGCAACCAAGCTTAAAAGAAAAACTGCCTCAGCTCAATATGGGATGGGCCAGCTCTGGGATGCAGGCAATGAGAAGAGCAGGTGGGCCCTGCATGGAGTGGAGCACATGGGAGGCTGAGTTTCGGGGGCTCCTGCTTGTTCTGTAGAATTCCCCATGTGCTTCGTCTGGCAGCACAGGGCCTGGCATGAGTGGGTCCTCAGTGCGTGCTTACCAGAAGCTTGTAGGGTGATGGACGTCACGTCTAGGTACCTGGCCAATTGATGGTCCTTTTGAGAGAAATACAAGATTTTGGGGTGTAACTGGTTTTGGAGGAAGGCTCTGAATTTGTGTTTAGGTGCCCTGATTTTGTCATCATGATGAGGGAGACACCAGGTTGTTGACGAACAGAAATGGGCAAGAGCTGGGCCCGGTGGCTCACTCTGTCATTTCAGCACTTTGGGAGGCAGAGGTGGGAGGATCAGTTGAGCCCAAGAGTTTGAGACCTGCCTGGCTAACATAGCAAGACCCTGTCTCTCCAAAAAATAAAAAATTAGCCAGGTACAATACTAGTGCCTGTTGTCCCAGCTACTGGGGAGACTGAGGTGGGAGGGTTACTTGAGCCCTGGGGTTTGAGTTGCTGTCAGCTGTGATCGTGACACCACACTTTGGCCTAGGTGACAGAGAAAGACCTAGTCTTAAAACAAAAAGGAGAAAAAAGGCCCAGGCTGGACCAGAACTAGTCCCTCTGGAGGTGTCCAGTGACTGATTCGCCACTCTTTATCCCTTCCCGTTTGGGTTTTCCTGGGGTTCTTGGAGCCATCCCACTCCTTGCCCCTATGCTTAGCTGTGATAGGTGTAGACCAGTGTGTTGGCAGCTTGCACAGCTGTGGAGCCTGTGTCTGAGCTCAGCCCTGTGGATCCTGTGTGAACTCTGTGACAGCTGAGGCTGCTCCAACCCAGAGCAGCAGTGAGAGCTGGCCGTGGTTCCTGAAACACAGTTTAGCTCTCCTGGGTTCTCAGTGGGAACATTTGCAATCTAGATTTGAGGGCATATCCCATTTCATGGGATAAAGTGAATTAGGGAAAATAAGCTTTTGCTTTATACAGAGATCTCCTAAATTTGAATTCATGGGATTACATGGGGCACAGGTGTATAACATGATCTTGTTTTGGGCAGTTCTTATGGAGGAAGTTTCATACTCTTTTCAAAACCCCTGTGTTTTTCTTTTACTCAAATAAAAATTGTTTCACAGGTGGGACAAAATAATTTCAAGCAGTGAGTCTGTTTTGTAAAAGAATAATGGTTGAGACATTAAGGCTCACTAGAAACCCAGAGAGCCTAGGCTGTGATACTAGCTCCGAGGTCAGTGATGTAAGAAGTCAGTGACCCACAGAGCCACACATGCTGCGCCCTCCCCATGGCAGGCTGAAAACAGAGCGGATTCAAAGGAGTGGAGAATTCTTTCGCCTGGGAAGAGGATGCTTGGACGTTTAACCCAGCTTCTGTACTTTTATTTTAGATCATCAGGAAGGCCCTGACTGAGGAAAAACGTGTCTCAACAAAAACATCAGCTGCAGATCTAGTGACAGAAACGGATCACCTTGTGGAAGATTTAATTATTTCTGAGTTGCGAGAAAGGTTTCCTTCACACAGGTAGGTGTATTTCTCTGGGAAACACCCCCAGTAACCCTTGTCACACTAATAGAGAAGGCAGGGTCTGCAGGGGTCAGGGGTCTCTGCCATTTGTTGATGTGGCCAGACATGAAGCCCTAAGCCACGCAGGCTGACCTGCGATCCGTCAGTTACTTAGTAAGCAAACTGAGCCCTGTTTTCATTCTTTTTACTGTCATCTTAACAACCATCATGTTGATACATCCTCTTAAGAATATCGTATGCTCAGGAAAAGCTCCTTGTACCCCTGTACTAAACCATTTGTTATTTCTAGAAGGACCCACTAGAAATGTGACCCATTCTAAGAAGCCTGGCGTGGTGATGTTCCCTGCTGGCCTGTGCCTGCTCAGCTGCCTGGGGAACTTTCCCAGGAGGCTGGGATGCCACGTGGCACTGGCAGCTGCATGGGGCCCCCGGCCCACCACCAGTGCTGAGCCATGCACACCCCCTTGCCCAGGCCAGAGGGCATGGTGGGAGTGGCTGCCACAGCCGGTTCCCAGAGCTGTCCCCACAGGAAGCCTGTAGGAGCATTTCTTAACGTTTTTGGAGTCACCTTTTAAGTATTTGATGCTAGCTATTGATCTTTTGTTCAGAAAAATTAAAATACTCACATAGCAATTTGGATAGAGTTCCAAGGGAGTTGTGAACCCCAGATTGAGACGTCCTCTTTAACTCTGGGGGGGCTCTGAGGCCCGTCCCTCACCTCTGGAGTTCTGCAGTACAGATTTTGAAGACCAGTACCTTGGATGCAAGGCATCTTTTTTCTTCATTATGTAGAATTTCTTAAGGATGTTGGATTCTGGCTGGGTGCAGTGGCTCACGCCTGTAATCCCAGCACTTTGGGAGGCTGAGGCAGGTGTATCACAAGGTCAGGAGTTCAAGACCAGCCTGACCAACATGGTGAAACCCTGTCTCTACTAAAAATACAAAAATTAGCCAGGCGTGGTGGCGCATGCCTGCAATCCCAGCTACTCGGGAGGCTGAGGCCAGAGAATCGCTTGAACCAGGACCCAGGAGGTGGAGGTTGCAGTGAGCCGAGATTGAGCCACTGCACTCCAGCCTGGGCTACAGAGCGAGACTCCGTCTCAAAAAAAAAAGAAAAAAGATGTTGGATTCCTAAAACTGAATGCCAGTTATTGAATTTCTGGCTATAGAGTATTATAACTGTTGTGATCCGGGTTTATATGGACTTAGGTGGCAGAAATATAGACGTTAATCTCCCTCAGTGTTCATTCAGCACATGGTGGGCTTAAAATACTTTTCTTTACATTGATTTTTAATGCATTTTTTAAGAGATAAGGTCTTACTCAGTTGCCCACGTTGGAGTGCAGTGGCGTGATCATAGCGTTGAACTCCTGGGTTCGGGTGATCCCCTTGGTTCAGCCTCTTGAGTAGCTGGTATTACAGGAGCCACTGCACCTGGCTCTCAGTATATTTTTTGTTGTTGCTGTGAATGATTATATGAAAGAACAAGCCAGTGTTAAAATACATACCTCCTTTTTTCCTGTTGTTTCCTTCTAACTAGTTAGGTTATCTCAAGCTAGGTTACCAGCTCTGCCTCTGAATTTCTGTCTACCAGTGGCTCATGTTTGTTTTGCTGACAACATTTGAGTTTAAGCTTCTCTTACTTTCTATTTCCTTACTCTGCTTAAGGTTGGGATCCCTGGCATCAGTTACAATGGTTATAGGATGTAAAATGTTTGTGATTTTTAAAAAACCTTTTAAAACATAATTTTAATTAAAGGGCAATATGAAAAGAATTTATCATAAGGAATTTTTGAGAGGAAACATGCTACAGTAACCAGCCAGCTGTTTCCAGGTCCTTTATTAATTGTATAGGGCTAGAGGTTTCTATAGTGATGAGCCATGTGGATGTGGCAGGGGAGAGCTGGCTTATCTGTGTGGGGTCTGGTAAAGGCTGGGAGGAAATGTAAGACCAGGCACAGTGAAGTTACTGGGGCTGTGATGTGTTTCAGCAGGTCACTTGGACAAACTGCACTCGGACATTGCATGCAACCCACTGTTGTGTAAATGTATGTAGTTGGTTCCATTTGTAAGAGGTAAATTTAGATACTCGTTGTAGACACAGGATAAAAGTTGATGTATTATGGAGTGAGCACAGGTACCTCCCTCCACCCTTGAAGCCTTAGGGTTGCCAGGGACCATTAGGCTCTAGAGCTCCTTTGGAAAACCATGACCCAAAGCAGGGGATTATAGGTAGGGCAAGGCAGGCTTACCTGGAAGCCTGCCCAAGGGCTGACACCAGCGTCCATCTCTGAAAAGGCCCCCTGGTAGGTCAGACTCACACACCTGACCAGGAGTCAGTGATTGAGAGCTGGGGTTCCCAAACTCTAGCCCACAAGCCAGTGAACACTGGCTGCACCACTGTCAGCCACAGCCTGTGTGTCACCCCGTCCTCCCTGGCTCTGGGGGTGAATGCAAAGACAAGATGAAAGCAGGTGTTATCTTCTCTTCTCAGTTTGCCTCAAAAATTGAGATCAAATGAAGTTTTCTTTTTTTTTTTTCTAATTTTTTAAAAAATTATATATATATATATATATATACATACATTTTTTACTGCATTTTAGGTTCTGGGGTACATGTAAAGAACATGCAGGATTGTTGCATAGATACATACATGCCAATATGGTTTGCTGCCTCCATATCCATCACCTATATCTGGCATTTCTCCCCATGTTATCCTGCCCAACTCCCTAGCCCCCACTGTCCCTCCCCTAGTCCCCCCCAACAGTCCTCAGTGTGTGATGCTCTCCTCCTTGTGTCCATGTGTTCCCATTGTTAAACACCCGCCTAGGGGTAAGAACATGTGGTGTTTGATTTTCTGTTCCTGTGTCAGTTTGCTGAGAATGATGGTCTCTAGGTTCATCCATGTCCCTAGAAAGGACACGAACTCATCGTTTTTTATGGCCGCGTAGTATTCCATAGTGTATATGTGCCACATTTTCCCTGTCCAGTCTGTCATCGATGGGCATTTGGGTTGGTCCCAAGTCTTTGCTATTGTAAGCAGTGCTGCAGTGAACATATATGTGCATGTGTCCTTATAATAGAACGATTTATAATCCTTGGGATATATACCCGGTAATGGGATTGCTGGGTCAAATGGAATTTCTACTTCTAGGTCCTTGAGGAATTGGCACACTGTCTTCCACAATGGTTGAACTAATTTACACTCCCACCAACAGTGTAAAGTGTTCCTATTTCTCCACATCCTCTGCAGCATCTGTTGTCTCCAGATTTTTTAACGATTGCCATTCTAGCTGGCGTGAGGTGGTATCTCAATGTGGTTTTGATTTGCATTTCTCTAATGACCAGTGATGATGAGCATTTAAATGTTTGTTGGCCTCATATATGTCTTCTTTTACAAAGTGTCTGTTCATATCCTTTGCCCACTTTTGAATGGGTTTGTTTGCTTTTTTCTTGTAAATCTGTTTTAGTTCTTTGTAGATTTTGGATATAAGTCCTTTGTCAGATGGGTAGACTGCAAAAATTTTTTCCCATTTTGTTGGTTACTGGTTCACTCTAATGATTGTTTCTTTCGCTGTGCAGAAGCTCTGGAGTTTAATTAGATCCCATTTGTCTATTTTGGCTTTTGTTGCCAATGCTTTCGGTGTTTTAGTCATGAAGTCCTTGCCTGTGCCTATGTCCTGAATGGTTTTACCTAGGTTTTCTTCTAAGGTTTTTATGGTGTTAGGTCTTATGTTTAAGTCTTTAATCCATCTGGAGTTAATTTTAGTGTAAGGTGTCAGGAAGGGGTCCAGTTACTGCTTTCTGCATATGGCTAGCCAGTTTTCCTAACACCATTTATTAAACAGGGAATCCTTTCCCCATTGCTTGTTTTTGTCAGGTTTGTCAAAGATCAGATGGTTGTAGATGTGTGGTGTTGCCTCCGAGGACTCTGTTCTGTTCCATTGGTCTATATCTCTGTTTTGGTACCAGTACCATGCTGTTTTGATTGCTGTAGCCTTGTAGTATAGTGTGAAGTCAGGTAGCGTGATGCCTACTGCTTTGTTCTTTTTGCTTAGAATTGACTTGGCTATGTCGGCTCTCTTTTGGTTCCATGTAAAGTTTAAGGTGGTTTTTTCGACTTCTGTGAAGAAGGTCATTGGTAGCTTGATGGGGATAGCATTGAATCTATAAATTACTTTGGGCAATATGGCCATTTTCACAATATTGAGTCTTCCTAACCATGAGCATGGAATGTTTCTCCATCTGTTTGTTTTCTCTTGGTTCGTTGTGTAGTTTGTAGTTCTCCTTGAAGAGGTCCTTTACATCATTTGTTAGTTGTATTCCTAGGTATTTTATTCCCTTTGTAGCAATTGTGAATGGCAGTTCATTCTTGATTTGGCTCTCTTTAAGTCTGTTATTTGTGTATAGGAATACCTGTGATTTCTGCACATTGATTTTATATTCTGAGACTTTGCTGAAGTTGCTTATCAGTTTCAGGAGATTTTGGGTTGAGACAATAGGGTCTTCTAAATATACAGGCATGTCATCTTGAAATAGAGACAATTTGACTTCCTCCTTTCCTAATTCAATACCCTTTAATTTCTTTTTCTTGCCTGATTGCTCTGGCTAGAACTTCCAGTACTATATTGAATAGGAGTGGTGAGAGAGGGCATCCTTGTCTAGTGCCAGATTTCAAAGGGAATGCTTCCAGTTTTTGCCCATTCAGTATGATATTGGCTGTTGGTTTGTCGTAAATAGCTTTTATTATTTTGAGATATGTTCCATCAATACCTAGTTTGTTGAGAGTTTTTAGCATAAAGGCTGTTGAATTTTGTCGAAGATTCAGAGAACTGGATCTGTTGAGATAATCATGTGGTTTTTGTCTTTGATTCTGTTTATGTGGTGAATTACGCCCCGGGGTGAGGCCTACTTGATCGTGATGGATAAGCTTTTTGATTGCATTGGTTTGCCAGTATTTTATTGAAGATTTTTGCATCTGTGTTCATCATGGATAT